ATGGGTTTAATTACTGATAGAGAAGGAAGAAAGTGGAGAAACTGGGAATATTGGCTTTTGCAAATGGGTTTCTGAGTAGGTGCTGATATTGTTAAATAGATTAACATCTGGTGCATGTATTTAAACATTTCTTTGCAATAATCACAGAAGCCCTTAATTTTAGAGTCCTCAAACCTTTCAACCCCCATTGATCTTAAAAGTTGTGCTTCTGGAACTCTAGCACTTAAGAAGAGAGCAGGTGCTGTGAAAACATGTTAATTGCTGAATGCAGAGAAGATTGACTTTAAAGAATATGGCGATTCGGTTTAAGCATAAGACTAGCGCTTTATTAAACCGTGTCCTTGTGGCATGAAGTTTCTAGGAATGCACACCTGGTGCAGGTGTGGAGGTGTCTGCCTTACCTGACACAGACATGCTGAGCTGCAGCTCTAGCTGGTGCTTATTCCTCTCCAGGTCAGTGGAATGAATAACATGAATGTCAGTGGGAGCTTTGAGTCAGCCTTGGAGAATCTTGGGAACTTGAGTACACAAAGGACTTGCTGGCTAATCCAGTGGGTGGGCTTTTTGCTTTGCTATTGGGAGGATGTATAATGTTTTGCTGGGCCTCCTGTTTTTCTCTTAAGAGTTCATTCTGTAATTCAGTAGTTTATACTGGGAAGATTGCTCTGCCAGGTTTGTGGCATCACAAGATACGCTGTCTACTGTGATTTCTAACGCTAATTTCTCACCATCTAATGCTCCATGATGCCATATCTATTTAGCTATTTCCTAGTCTTGTGTTTCACTTACGGATATTCATTTGCCTGTCAGACTCGTGCACTTCGCTTAAATGTTTCTGCGCATTCAGGTGTCCTTACAAAGTCACTACATGGAGACAAGACATCAACCTTGTTTATCAATCTAATTGCAGAGTAATTCACTTGTGAAATAATACACTTTACAGAATACTGCTAAGCAGAAGTTAAAACATGCTCTTCCTTGCAAGTGACAATGCAAGACAAATGATCCTTTTATTTACTGTGTGTTTTCTAGTAATTGAAGAAAAGGTACCTTCTATCAGGTGGGCACTGCTCCCTAGGAGTTGCCGTTGTGCATGGAAAGGAATAAAACAGAATTAAATTGTTGTTGTGTCCCTGAGGGCTCACTTTTGGGGCCACTCTGGTTCAATATCAACTATCTTGATTAGAGGACTGAGTGCTTCCTCAGCCAGTGCTGGGTCCGGCATTTTGGTCACAACAACCCCAGGCAATGCTACAGGTTTTGGGAGGAGTAGCTAGAAAGCTGCCTCATGGGAAAGGACCTAGGGGTGCTGGCTGACAGCCAGCTGAACATGTGCCAGCAGTGTGCCCAGCTGGCCAAGAAGCCCAACAGCATCCTGGCCTGCATCAGGAATAGTGTGGCCAGTAAAGAGAAGGGAGATGATCATGTCCTTGTATTCAGCACTGGTGAGGCTTCACCTCAAACACTGTTTTCAGTTTTGGGCCCAAAAAGAACATTGAGGTGCTGGAAACTGTCCACAGAAGGGCAACAAAGGTGGTGAAAGGTCTGGAGAACAAGTCTTGGAGCAGCTGAGGGAACTTGGAGTGTTAAGGCAGGAGAAGAGGCTGAGGGGAGACCATACTGCTCTCTACAGCTACCTGAAAGGAGGTTATATATAGTGAAGTGGGGGTTGTCCTCTCAAGTAAAAACAATAGGACGAGAGGAAATGGCTTGAAGTTTTGCTAGGGGAGGTTTAAACTAGATATTAGGAATAATTTATTTCCTGAGAAAAATCAGGTGCTGGAACAGGCTGCCCAGGGAGGTGGAGGAATTTAAAAACCACGTAGATGAGGGACTTCAGGACATGCTTTAGCGGGCATGTTTTTTTATTTGCAAGGCAATCTGTCACATACTCGTTTATCTGGGATTAGAAATCTCAGTTAAAAGTACCAAGTGGTTCAGTTCAAGTATTTCTTGTGGGAATTGTTTGTACTTTATTTTTCTAGGTAATTTCTTAAAATGTAGACTTAAAATAACAAACTGTAGCGTTTAATTGTTATCAGTCTTATGGCAAACTTAGAGGAAGTACAGTGGCTTTACCATAATCCATGTGAAATTTGTGGCAAAACTAGATTTCAGAAAAGTTAAACAGCCCTTAAATTACCTTGTTTTAAAACGTTTTTGAGATGTCCAGCTATACAGCATACACTGGAAACCAAGAATATGCTTTAGACCTCAGCTGGCACCTGAAATAGTTTCATGTTACTACTTCAGGTATTCTTGTAATTTGGTGGGAATATATTGCCCAAGTGGAAATAGTTAATGCTTATGTTTTTGCCTGTTAAAATGAAGCCTTGTTCCTCACTTCAGAAGTGATCTGTGAGGTATTGATAGAATGTCCTGAAATCTGATGTCCAAATTCCTACTGAAATAATTTAGTCTTCATTACTGAAAGGTAGGGTTTTGAGAGTTTTCTATACCATTGTATTTATAAATATATTTTCTAGTACATCTGCATTCTTGTTTGTTTGGTTTTTTTAATTGGAACATTCTGAAATGCTGGTTCACAGCAAGCCAGCACTTGCAGGATGATCACAAAGAAGCCTGGGCTGTGCAGCCACTTGGCTGGTTTGATAGACAGGATGTTCTTCTGGCTTTGGGAAGATGTTTGTGTGCTGGGGAATTGTTGGGAAACTTTTCCATTGTCAAACTTAGTGTTTTAAAAGATTTTAGGATTTTTTTTTAAAGTCTAGAGACAGCAGTATTGCCAAAAAAATTTCACTGGGATTACACAATGTACAACTTGGATCAATACTTTTGTCCCAGTTGAATTCCTGGCAATACTTCATGTGCTAAGCACTACATTTTCTATCATGTACAGCATACTTATCTGTGCCTGATGATAATGCATTCAAATTTTGTAGTCTTCAACTTGGAACACAGTATTCTTAATGTTACGCTGGGCTAATACATTCCTCAAACC